TTTCCACCGAGGTCATGTGATATTACGCCGTGTGATTTCTTTTTATGGCCTTACCTTAAAAACACTATTTTTGAAGTGCCTATTCCTGATTTAAACCATCTGCAGGCTCGGCTTATAGACAAGATTCGTGAAATTGACAATACCCCGAGCATCTTAGAAAATGTCTTTAATTTTTTGAGGAACAGGTGTGAAAAATGCTTGGAACAAGGAGGGGGACACTTTCAGCAGTTGCTTTAATTTATTGCTATAACAAGGAGGGGGACACTTTCCGCAGCTCATTTAATTGTTTGTTATTGTTATCACGATTATTCTTTAAAATCAAGTTATATAGTCATTAACGTTATTGAAACTGACAGCTGCTATACAGCTCGTTGAGAAATGAGGTTAAGTTGGTCGCTATAAGCTACTCCCTACGTCCAATGTGTCAGAGCCAACTTCGACCACGTTTTTATTTGAACGCTCGTTATATGATCTGGAACCCTTGAGAAGCAGTACCATTTACTCAAATATCGACAATCGATTTTAAAAATTATCCAAAGGCATTGAAACTATTGGCAAGAGGGAAAGAAACAACAAAACAGCAAATTATTACTTTTTCTATGAAAATATGTAAAAGACCTCATTTCTAATGCACTTTACCACATTAGCGTGATAAAATGACAAAAATTTGCAAAAATATGCAAATAAGAAGGGGCAATAAAAACTATTTAATAATATAATAACCTTACATAATCACATACTGAAAATATTAGTAATTAAAGTTTGACGCGAACAATGTTTCAAGCTTTAAACTTTTGACGTCAATTCATGACGTCATTTAGTGTTATCAAGAATCGAGAAAATGAATGATAGGGATAAGACGTCGCAACAGCATGAAGAGCGTCTAGAAACAGCCAAATTCACCCCTCGCATTTCATTGTTTATTTCGATGTTATTTTATTAATTTATTTTTTATTAAAGTCGATAAACCAAGGCAATTTACACTTTTACTTGAACGGTTGCATGCAGCATGAAGAGCGTCTAGAAACAGCCAAATTCACCCCTCGCATTTCGTTGTTTATTTTGATGTCATTTTATTCATTTATTTTTTATTAAAGTCGATAAACCAAGGCAATTTACACTTTTACTTTAACGGTTTAAACTTATCCCAAAATAATATTCAATAACTGGAAAAATTAATCCTGGTTGTATATTCCGAGCAGAATGGCGTGGTATTAGATTTCAAATAAAAATCTTGCTAAAGCAATTTCGCAATTTACAATTTTGAAAAAGTTACGTTTCCAAAAATATACTTATGCATTGCTGGGGGGCTATCCAAAGAAAATTCGAAATAAATGCGTCATGAAAAATGAAGTCGATATCATAAAAAAATTTTTTGTAAAATCCTTATATAGTTTCCGAGAAAAAAATTATTGAAGTTATAGTATTTTCAACTTTGTGCGCTGTGCTCACTGCGCTGTCTCTTCACGTGGTCCCAGGGGCGATTCCGAATACTGAAATCCGATTTTAATATTAACGTTTTTGCGATAGTGTTTACATTAATTTTTCAGTGTCAAAAATGTCCTTTACGTGTAGTGTGTTTATCAACTCGGAGTTAATGCATATCGTTTTAAGTGATGGTGAAGCAAGACGACATTTGCGTACTTGGCCGGCACATGTAATTTAAATATCTTTTCGCAAAAAGGAGAAAGTTATTACACATAACGTACAATTTCGCTCTCGAAAATACCATGTTAAATCTTTTCGAAGCGCAAAAAATGTGGGTATAATAAACAAAACTGTATCTAGGTTAAAAGTCAAATACCTTTCACTTTTCTAATTAATTTTGCACGAAAAGAAATTAAAATTTGTTATGTTAAAACTATAGGCAGATGGTCAAGGTCAACTGGTCTACAGCTGTTTCTTCCAGACGAGAATTGGCGATATCAGCATTCCCAGCGTCACAAATATTAGAATACTGGCGTTTGGGTAATATTTTTACTCTTTTTTAAAGGTATCAAATGATGTCAAAACAAATTTTTACGACACCAGAAATCTAGGTATAAACCCTAACAGACTACGTGGGCTACATACTATTATTGGATTACAGCACAACTCACTAAACAGTTAGTAAAAAAATTAAATAAAATATAATAAAATGTACAAATAATAAAAAACACACGTCACTGAAGGCGAAAATAAGGTAAAAGCTCCCAATTTTTTAGGATAGCATGAATTTTCCTGAAAATTTGCATACAAGCTCATCTGACCCCCCACTTTAAAAGTTATATTGTCTAGATGTGTGCTTTTTTTTCTATTTGGGGGTGAAAACTACCATTGTACGAAAAAAATGCGAAAATCGCAGATTTACGTAAGTATTTTAAAGATTGAATTCATGTTCAAATATGTACATATGTTGGGTAAAGTTCCTTTCATGTTTTTTAATATAATTTATAAAATTTAATTACTTTTCAACATTTCAACCCTTAAAAACTACCCATCCATGGCCAAAAAAATATATAAAAAGTTTTTAACAGTTTAAAATATTCTTTTAGTGCATTCACAATGCATTGCATTTCTTTTTGTTATTCATTAGAAAGCTTACGACTCATTACAAAGTTTCAACCCTTAAGAACCATCCCTTGTAATAAAATAAACAAAAAAATATTATTGAAAGCTTGAGATGTTTTAATGGTTGCATATGTTGAATTATAAACTTTTTATTGGTTTTCAAAAAACCCTTATGGAAGACCTACCTCTCATAAAAAACCCTACCCCTTATAGAAAAATTTCCTAAAAATTATATGTGAGTATGATGATATAATTATTTTTTTTTAATTTTATTGAATTTATTTTTTTATTAAATTAATATCAAATACACATATATATACATGTGAACTCGGATACGTGTGTGTATGTATATTATTAAAATACTTACTCAAATCAGTTCACAAGTGCTCCAAAATACATAAAGATGATGGTAATTTACCCGTTTTTTACCATAACTTTTGTAATTTTAAAGTTATAAATTTACTCAAAAAAACATTTTGTAAGGAATTTAAAGCTCTTTAAGTTCTGTGATTTACATTTTTTTTGAGCCCTTCGTTTTTTTATATTTGTAAGTTAAAAGAGCTCAGGAAAGGCAGTCTTGGAGCTTAGTTTTGAGCTTCTAACGGTCATAACTCGGTCAAATTTTGTCCTACAAAAATTTAAAAAAAGCAAATTGTTCAGTAAGAAAAAAGTTACAATTTCTTATTCTATCATTTTTTTATAACTTTGTCAGCTTTTGAAATATTTTGAAAAAAGCGATTTTTAAAAAAATGGAAAAATTTTATTCGAAAGTAAATGTAATATTTTTTTTAAAATTTAGGCTTCTAAAATCGTTCCAATTCCCAGAATCTACTGTTAATACATAAATAAAGTAAATTGCAGAAGGAATACGTTTAATTTTTTTTCCGTCAAGCCATTAATTTTAATACAGATTTTTTTTCTCAAAAATCAAGACAATCATTTTATTTTGATTGTAACTTCATTAGATTTCATGCTAACGACTTTTACCTTTTCAAGAACTTTAATAAGTTATGTAAGTTTTCCTCGAAAAACCTTTAATTTTTCCGCTACAGGACGTTGAACGTTTCGATTATAGCTATCTTCGAAATCGACTTCAACTTCTGGGAGTTAAACTCGGATTCTGTACCACCTACAAAAATAAAAAACATCAATCTCTTTGCTATTCATTTTTTTTTTAATAAAACTTGTAGCTTTTGAGATATTCGCGAAAAATGGCTCAAAAACATGCATTTTTTGGGTTAAAAACGAATATGTTTAGGCGCAAATAACTCAAAAAGTATCGACTGTACAAAAAATTCTTATATAACATTTTTTTGCTTCGAATTGGTCTCTCTATCGAAACGTGAGGTTATTTTTAATAAAAAAATTCCCATCCTCCAGAAGGGGTGGCATCCACCCCTAGGATAAAAGCACACATCGGCACTATATAACTTTTGTTTCTTGGGAATCCTAGCTACAGTTCAAATTTCACGTCTATCCATTCCATCCAAAAAAATTGGTAGACAAAATGCTTCAAATTCAAACTAGGTACTTTGAAGCGTTTGCTTTTAGCTTTACTCTTTACTTCAAGCAAATGCTTTTGTTTTATTCACCCAATCTTATATCTCTATATTGAAATTAAATTAAAAAAAAATAAACGTTGACAAAGCTCTCGGTAAAGAACAAAACTTTCAAAAATAGTTTCTGTTCCTATTTATAACCAAGAGTCTCAGAAATTTCCAAGATTCAGATATGAAGTAATGGTTCAAGACTTTATTTAATATTGACTTTTTAATTTCTGCAAATGGATTTTTGTTTTATATTGTTTGTATTTTTTCTTTGTATTTTCAAGGACAACTGGAAAAGAGGGAGGGTTGGGATCCTATACGTTTCTAAGAGTTTTGTATATTAGCGCAGATATTGTATTACAATAAAAATATAAATCTGTCTTATATTTAAAGTATACTTATAATCCGCGGTCGAAATTATAGAGAGTGATTCAGACATAATATCAAAACACTATTACCATAATGCGTATAAGATATAAAATGATTTTTATACGGTTCAATATTATTTATCTTTGTGCCGCTCGCTACGCACATCGACAGAATCTATAATCGTCTATAGACTGAGTTACACTGAACGTCGATCTATATTCTATCTCTGTCTTTTGCACTTGGTAGGGAATAGGGAAATGCTTTTTTAGTGGGTGTAAACGGACTTGATTTACCCGTCCTGAGAAACGTCATAGCATAAGCGTAGACGAGGGGTCTAATTCCATGGCTATAATAAATTTATAAATTAAAAAAACACAACTGGGACGTTTTAAAATGCTGTAATAATTAAAATTGATCAAAGTGCCGGTTATAGCAAACCGTAAAAAATATTAGATGTTGTGTTTTATTATCTTTTTTCAATATTTTCTATATCTTGTTGCCTTTTACACGCCAATGGATTTTCGTTCCCGGCACGCTTCATCCCCCTTACTAGTCCAAAAGCTAGCGATGAGTCACTCTCTATAATTTCTACCGCGGAGTATAATTACATGTTCCCGAAAACCGTTTCTTGTCCAAATATGTACTACAAGACGTTAAACTGGGATTCTTCCAGTTAATAGCTTAGCCGTCGCTTTTGTCCCTTATTTTGTGACTCCAGATACCACGCTAAATTTGTGGAAAGCGGAAGCCATAACTTAGCAAAATTCAAGGCTGTAAAGCCGTCGTTGTCGCATATTGTAACGTCTGCACCAGCCTCCACGAGGTCTTTCACAGCGTCTAACCTATCCCTAAGAGTAGCTGAATGTATTGGAGTACGACCCTGACTATCCCTTACATTAACGTCCTCAACACGTCCAATGAAGAATTTTACGACTGGCGCCCAACCGTGTCCTGCAGCGAAATGCAGCGGTGTCCGACCCTGCTTATCTCTAGCGTTGACGTCCATACCCGCCTCAACAAGGAACTCGACGTTTTCCACTTTATACCCTTTTGCAGCCACGTGCAAAGCTGTGCGGCCTTCTTGTGTACCGTTAATGTCAGCACCACGTTCTATAATGAACCGGAATATATCCAAGAGGTCTCTCTCGGCGGCTAGAAGAAGGACTGTGGTCCCGTCGCTACCCGTAATATTAAACCCTGGTTCCCGTTCCAAAAAGAACTTAAACGTTTCCAACCCACATCTTAACGCTGCGAAGTGCAATGCGGTGCTGCAGCCGTGTTCGTCTTTAAAATCGGCGTGTGCCCCATTTTGTAAAAGGAACTCGACGATGTTTAAGCTGTCTTGGGATACGGCAATATGAAGAGGCGTGTGGTTTTTAAAATCTAGTATGTTGATGTCCGCACCCTCCTGCACCAGGACTTTAACAGCATCCAAGTCATTGTAGGCGGCTAGATGCAGGGCTGTTTCACCCGAAAAGTTTCTGATATTAATTCCACCGCACTTTGCAAGTACACGTACAATGTCTGGATTGTTTTCATTTACGTCTTCATCCACTGCTAGATGCAACGGTGTGTTGCCCTCGCTGTCTCTAATAATTACATTTGCCTCATTCTCAACAAGGCACTTGACAATGTCTAAATTACTCGTATCTCCTGAAACGGCAAAATGCAGCGCTGTTTTCCCGTAGTAGTCTGTTGCGTTAACATCCGCTGCTGCCTCCACAAGCAATTTAACTGAGTCGAGGTAGTTCTCGCGAGCAGCAATATGTAGCGCAGAGTAGCCTTCATTGTCCGTGATGTTCCTGTTTGCACCGCGCTGTAAAAGGTACTTGACTGTGTTTGTCCGGCATCTTTCGACGGCTAAATATAAAGCTGTACATCCATTTTCGTCGGTAGCGTTTAAATCTGCACCGAATTCTACAAGGCACTTGACTATCTCCACGTTATCTCCATAAGAAACAGCGAGGTGTAGCGGTGTGTTGTCCTTGCCGCATTTAACTTTAGCGTTTGCGCCGCGTTGTAAAAGAAATTTAAGGGCTTCTAAGTTACCCTTTGAAACGGCAACATGCAATGTCGTAAACCTCTGCCCGTCGGTATAACTAAGGCTTGAACAGCATTTGGTGTTGATGTCCACACCGCGATCCACGAGGTATTCAACGACATCCATGTGGTTCCCGTAAAGAGCCAGATGAAGAGCTCTAACATTGTCGCCATCGTCACCATGTTCCACAAGAAGCCGAACAAAGTCCAGCCGTCCTTCCCTAGCTGCTAAGTCAAGAATCGTTTCGTACCTGCCGTTTGTAATCATATTTTTGCCACTGTTTTCCGCAAGGTACTTGACGATGTCGAAGTGGTCGCCAGAAATGGCTAAGTGGAGAGCTGTGCCGTCCCATGCTCTGCTATCGGTGTTGGCGTTGCTCTCAACCAGGAATTTGACTATATTTAAACGGCCCCCGAAAGCAGCGAAATGTAGCGGCGTTTGACGTCGGCTGCCAGGACCGTTGATATTTGCGCCTTGTTCTAAAAGAAACTTAACCGTGTCGAAGTGTCCCTTTTCAGCGGCGTAGTGCAGTGGCATGTTCTCTTGCTTATCCTTAATGTTAACTCCTCCGTGTCGAGTAAGGTACCGTAACACATTCAACGAGTTACCGAAAATGTGTTCCCTGGTGTCTTTGTCCAGCTCAGTCGCGTTATGTATGATTTCTATTTTTTTCCCTCTGACAGGTCTGAAATTGATGCACTTTAATAGGAGCTGGAGGATCCCTAGGCAGCCTTCTTTCGCCAGCAAGTGGATGGTACACTGTAAGTGGTGTTTTTTGAAATCGACATCGTACTTTAGCGACTGATAATTCTGGAATATGTTCGAAGGTAATGAATCCGTTGTTGTTCGGAGCCGACTATCAATGAAAGCTCTCGTAGCAGCATATTCCGTGGATGAAAATATTTCTTCAAATAGGAACTTCTGAAAGTCCGCTCCTTGGTTTTGAAGTCGCAATTCCTTTAGTATGCTTTCGGCAAAGAAATATTCTTGGAATGTGTCGTGGGTGAAATGGAATTTGTCATCTGATTTTTTTACAATTCCAAACTTTAACAGCTTCGCCTCGAAGTTTTCGCTCTCCCGCTGGTAACACGTAAAAAGTTCACATTTTGCTTTGTCTAAAACGGCTTCCAAGGCTAGAATTCGATGACTAGCTAGGCATTCTTCAAATTGCGCATAATTTTCACCATTAACATTTTCTGTATTCACGAAAATATTACGCTTTTTCTCGATGAATAGATCATAGAATTTTATTAAACTCATCTTCTCAGGCAAATTCGGTTCGTCTCCATCTACGCTTACAAACTCTTTACACCCGTTCCATTCCGATCTTTCACTCTGAAGATTATTCTCTTGGAAAATTTCCGCCATCATTTGCGGATAAATATTCGTAAGACGATTTTTCAAATGGTGACAAACTTCTATCCAAGAAGACATTTTATTCAACAAGGCCTTGGCGTATCTCTCACACTTATTTCTAACCGAATCCTCAAGATTCAGACTGCGTATCCAATAAGCCTCCAGATACTCCACTTGTTCCTTTCTTATGAAGTTCTCATCAGCAATTACAACTTTGGAAAATATATTTCCGTCTAGACTCAACACTTCTTCTATTTTTAATCTTTGAAAGTAGTTGGAAAAACGTGTGATCGAAGTACTCTCAATAATTTCATGATCCGGTTCCACAATTCTATTAGTTCCATTTTTTGAGAGTAGAACGATTTTCATATTAACAAACGTTGCCAAAAATGTAACTTCTTCTATCTTAACTGGTTCTTGTGCTGCTTCAATATCAGAAGCATATTGTGCAAGCTGAGCCTCGTCTTCGACAGATGAATGTTTGTATTTTTCGTACGCCGAGAAGCATCTCCTTAATATATCGATTAGGCCTGGTATCATTGTTGATGACTTGTTTTTAAGAGAGGTCAGGCAGTGTGACCAATTTGTACGTTTGTCAGCGGCGTATTGGTCGATATAAGGTTCACTTTCATTGTTTCTTTTCCCATAGATAGAATGGTAGAAACTGTTGTTGTCTGATCCTGTCGGAACTGGAATCCAAAATTTGTCATCATAAAAATAGTAAGTCGTCTTCATTTCCATTGCGACGATAATTCTATAAATAAAAATCTTATGTCAATGCCAACGGCAAATTCACAGTAAATTAGTAATGTAATATTTTAAAGAGAGAAAAAAAAGTTATTATTTTCTTTAGGGCCTCACACCACGATTCCTGAAATATATGGTCCTCGCTTTTTTGTTCATTTGTGGTTCACGTAGAATCTACTTCTCTCGTAAAATTTGAGTTTTGAGTGCATTTCGTAGTAAATTTTTCATAAATACGCTAAATCATATCAAGGCCTAAAATTTTCTTAAAATTACCATCTGAAGTCTTTGACACCAACATCTAGGTATGTTAAAAAGCAAGTACAAAGACGTTATGAAGTAATTACTAATTATATTGTAGGAAACAACTACTCTGCGAACTAAATCTGTGCTTAGCAGTGAGGTTAATATACCCGTAATATTTAGAAATCATGTTAATTATTATTATAATCTACAAATTTAAAGTAATCAATCTAAAATCTCCGCAGTCCTAGACTACTTAATTTATTACTGTGTAGCTCAGATTATGAATCATGTCTAATATACAGGTGCTTCAGAAAGACCTCCCGTACATTCTGGGGGTGATGGTACGACAAAAAATAAGAATTTGGTATGAACTATATGTCTATCTCCTCTCGTTTTCGAGATACAGAGCAACAGAATAAAATATTTTAAATAGAATTTTTTCGAAAATTTCCAAACGGTGCGAAATATTTTTATGAAATTTGGTTTCCCGGGGTTTTTAAGGACGCCAAATACGCTGGTCTAATTATTTTTTTGTATATTTTATAGAGGCCGAACCGTGTCACCTTTTGCAACAGGCCGTAACATGTTCATTGTTACGTTACGTGGATTTTTTTTCTCGAAAACCGTCCACATTAGGAAGTTCTAACAAGAGTACATTATTTTTAGAAAATACAATTGTACATTAGAAATTGGAGCCCGAACCTAACCTTAAAAAAATTAGAACCTAAAATGTAATAGGAATGTAGCGTAACTAGCGCCCTCTGTGAAATATCCAAAAATACTAGCGTATTTGGCGTTCTTAAAAACCCCGAAATACCCAATTTCATAAAAATATTTCGCACCGTTTGGAAATTATCGTAAAAATTCTATTTAAAAAATTTTATTTTGTCGCTCTGTATCTCGAAAACAAGAGGAAATAGACATATAGTCCGTAAGACAAAAAATTCTTATTTTTTGTCGTACTATCACCGTCGTTTGAAGGCGATGTGTCATGCACCTCGTTTTCTATGTATTATTTCTCAACCTAACCTAAAATTTTCATTATTTGTTATACTCCGCGGTCGAAATTGTAGAGAGTGACTCATCGCTAGCTTTTGGACTAGTAAGGGGGATGAAGCGTGCCGGGAACGAAAATCCATTGGCGTGTCTGCGTAAACGGCAACAAGATATAGAAAATATTGAAAAAAGATAATAAACATAACATCTAATATTTTCTACGGTTTGCTATAATCGGCATTTTGATCCATTTTCATTATTACAGCATTTTAAAACGTCCCAGTTGTGTTTTTTTAATTTATAAATTTATTATAGCCATGGAATTAGACCCCTCGTCTACGCTTATGCTATGACGTTTCTCAGGACTTGTAAATCAAGTCCGTTTACACCTAGTAAAAAAGCATTTCCCTATTCCCTACCAAGTGCAAAAGACAGAGATAGAATATAGATCGACGTTCAGTGTAACTCAGTCTATAGACGATTATAGATTCTATCGATGTGCGTAGCGAGCGGCACAAAGATAAATAATATTGAACCGTATAAAAATCATTTTATATTTTATACGCATTATGGTAATAGTGTTTTTATATTATGTCTGAATCACTCTCTATAATTTCGACCGCGGAGTATAGTTAAATTAACACCAGAACTCATTTAAAAAAAATCGGGTGAGGTCAGAACCCTGGCAGTTCCTGCGGTAAAAACAATTGAATAATTCCAATTTTTGAGAAAAATTCAAAAAATGGAGAAAAATAAATGCCGATTTCGTTAAAAACTGTTGAATATTTTCAGATACTCGTGAGCTAATATTACTAACTTCATTCCATGGCTCAATGGGCTCATTAAGCATTTTTTTTTATTTGCTAACGGACAGATATTGCAATTTTAAGGTTTTCTGCAAAAAATTAGAATTTTATATTGCCAGTCATCAAAAAAAAAATCAAACTGGTTTATTTGCCTGTTAAGTTTCGATTGAGTACGTTAAGATACCCAATTTTGTTAGCAATATGGAAGACACAAAACAGAAAAAAATTATAAATATTGTATTATTTGTATTGTTCCCCGTAATTCTGTCGTGTGGATCTAAAATCGATAGTCTATTAGTCTCTACTTTGATTTTTTTTTTTTATATCTTTTATTTGAAAAATGACTTATTTTAATAGCAACAAAACTACCCTGTGTAATTTAGGTATGTAATAAATACGTTTGTATCATCTAGAAACACTATACACTTGTGTTTTCCATTGTTGATTTTTTTTGTGAATATACAAATACCTGTAAGTACTAAATATTAATACAAAAATACATAATACATATTATATTATTAATATATTTATAAGATATTAGGTAGATTTTATGTAATATCCATGGGAATAAAATAGTAATAAGAATTTTTTAGTTGATTAGGTAAATCTTTGAAACCTGACAGAAATGGTTTCGTTCAATTAAATGCAAAATCCTTATTCTTATTTACTATTCTGGTTGTACAAAAACATCAAAACTTTCGCTACAAACGTACTTAAAGAAGTTTAACACGTTATTGAAACGTAACCTTTGCATTTTCACTCCTCTCATCTCAGCACTGACACTGATAAGCCGTGGTTTTTATTTAAAAAATCCATAACCATTAAAAAACCTACTTCTGGCAAATTAGAAGAATCTGCTTTTACGAAACTTGCTTCCATTTTTTAAATTTATTATGCACAAACGCTAAAACATTCTGTGAATGCAGAAACTCACCTGCAAGTAGCACCAAGCCGACTTACCGTCTCGTGCGGTGACGTCATTGCGTTACCACGGCAGAGACAAATATTCGCATTTTAAAAATCATACAGCTTGAAAATCGCTCAACGGATCGAGTTGAAATTTTGTATTGCCTAATCATGAGCAATACTTTGTGTATATAAAATAAGAACGTTTATGAAAATTTACTGAATAACCCCACTAACAAAATGTTTTTGGTTTCAATAGTATATATCACCGAAGCCCGAAGCTTATTCTTTTAGAACAGAGATAGTACCCATAAATGCGAAAGGAAATAGAAATATGCAATAGAAAACGACTTGTGGAATTCCACAGTACACGGAATGCTCTTCATTTTGTTTCACCACTATATTCGTTGGAATACGGCACCGCTCGGCACTTTTGTTCTGTCTGTGTTTGCAAAGATCCGAGATCCGATACGTATCTTTAGGCGCCAGTTCGCTTGGACCGGCTAATAAGGGAGCCGGATCAGTCAAGGATATAATATTCTTTCTATTCTTAAGGCAACTTGAAAATGACAATGGAAATTTAGTTTCCTGTAGAACTGTCTAATTTTGTCGTCTATAATTGACAACTTAATATTGGAAAAGAAAATAATTTCTTTAAAGCTACAAATTATGCAAAGATTTAAATTTTGTGAATGCATTCTGACGTCATTTACTTTGACCGAGAACGTAATCTGTTTCTCGTCCTCTTCCGTCTAGTTTACCAAGGTGAAATAATATAAAGAAACGCGCTCCTCGATTTTGGATCTCACCAAATGACGTCACGAAGTAGAAAGGCAAGCAAACGCCCATTTAAAACATTTATTTTGTGCACCAGACTTTAATAATTGATTGATTTTCACTGCATGATTATAGGTTATAGATTATTTGTAGACATTTAAAAAATATATGTAAATTGCCTTTTTCATTGTCTTTTATAGACCTTAGTAAAACAACGAATTTCTAAAATTTTACCTTGCTATATTAATTAAATTCGATAAACTTTCAAATTCATACTTATCTATATTAAATTAATACTGTAAGGGACATGCAAAAAATGTACGAAAATCGTATTTAGGTTAAAAGGTCAAATACCTTCTGGTAATATATTTGCAACAAAGAACAAATTTTACGTACCTGATAAAGCGACAAGAGATGATTAATTATTAAAAAATCCGTAATATGTTATTTGCACTGCGTTGTAAAAATGCTGATTACAGGAAAACAAGTCCTAAATAAATACAATACCGGTCACTGGACTCTTTAAATGTTAAAGGTTAACAAAACGTATGCACATTATTGCACAGTACACAAACCACAAAACATAGTACACTAGAGTAGTTCAGTGCACGGATCACTACCATTTTAGGTTGATAATTAAACAAAATTTGTTTATCCACGACTACTAAATATTTTTGTTGAAGTTTTTTTTTGAAATGTTTCGAAAAACATGGTATGTTTAAGAAACAGATATACGACTCCCATAAATGAAGTCGCTGATGGCTCAGTGTAGATGCTCTTTCCCTTCCAACCGCGGGTCCCGGGTTCGAATCCGGTCTAGGAAAATTCACTTTTTTAATTTTTTTTTTATATGTACAGCACTGAATTGAAAATATTTAGTGCTTTACACGATAAAATTTTAAAAACGGATTGTTCGTAGCAGAACAATATAATATTATAGCTAAATTAAGGAAGCATCTGACAGTAGTGATTAATGACTCATTAATCACTGCCGTGATTAATGGGTATTATTAAGGTGGAGCAAACAGACGTATAATGGGTACAATATACAATAGTCGTGGATAAAGTATAGTATTCTACTCCCGTATAATGGGTATTATTCACTCGGTGATTTAGGCGACCTGACAATCACATCCCAATCCGTAGATCCTAGATATTCCGTCTCCCTCCTCCAAAACTCCTTAGACCAACTTGAAACCTGGTGCAACAGGTGGAAAGTCAAAATTAATCCCAACAAAAGTTCGGCTATCCTTTTTACCAAACGAAAAATCCCACAAAACCTCGACAGACTGACACTATCCCAGGAACCTATCTCCTGGAATCGACAAACACGATACCTGGGCGTGACGATGGACCAGCGTCTCACGTGGAAACCGCACATCGTGGAGACGGTGGCGCGAGCGAAGACCACCAGGGCTAGGCTCTATCCCTTACTCAAAGGTGGAAACACCCTCAGTTTAAGGAATAAGCGAACGCTTATCAAGGTGGTACTTCAACCGCAGCTAACCTACGCCTCCACGGCGTGGGGTCACGCGGCAAAAAGCCACTTAAAGTCATTACAGGCTGTGGAAAACATAGCCCTCCGCACGGCCACCGACGCGCCCTGGTACGTAAGAAACTCTGACATATTACGAGACTTACAATACACAAACGCTACACAGACAATAAGACAAAACGCGGAGAAACGATTTGACGTAGCCGCTAGACATGACAATCCCCTCCTCAGGCAAGCCGTTGACTACGTACCCGACGTGACCGACAAACACAAAAGACCTAGACACCAACTTTTTGACCCTGGGTGACCACCCCAATGACCCCCCCCCCCTGCCCGCTAACCTTTTCTGTTTCAGAGACAGCCAGGATCAAGAAACGAAGACAACGACACACACACACACACACATACACACCCCCCATACCCTCCTTAACCCTCCCCTCCCGCGCTAGCCTAAGGGCCACCTTAGCAAAGCGCATCCCAGGCTGCATAGCCGCACTACCCTACCCAACCATACCACACATAAACATGACACTACCCCCGGGGTTTACACAGACGAGCCGGCGAAGCAAGAAGAGCGCCAGAAGAAAGGGCCCTAGCCGGCGGGGCCCAGCCAGGACAAAAGGAGGTCCCACAAAGCGCCTACACCGGCCGCATTTGCGGTCCGGGTAGACGACGGATGGGGCCCACCTACGAAGGCTGTCCAGGCCTACACGAGATGAGGCAGGATAAAGAGGGATAATCCCCCTCGATCCCAAATCATTGAGGCCAATTTCTAGCCATAGAATAATGGCGCGGTGATTTAGGCCACTCGCCTGCGGCTCGTGGCCGTAAACTTCACCTCGTGAATAATACCCATCATTATACGCTCGTTGAATAATATACTATTTTGCATCAATTTCTTTCATAGCTTAAAAAACAACATATATTAATAAATACGAAAATCTTTATCGATTGAATGTTTATTTGAAAATATTATTATTATTATCATTATTACATAATAGCAAGGACAGAGGCAATATGTAATAATCTAACCTTATTAATTTAGTTTATAAGGTCTATGACGTTTGCACTGATAAGCTCGACCATAACCTCATTAGCCAAGACTATCACCGAAACTTTTGACAATTTTTTCGTGAAATTCGGATGTGAACTCGTCGCAACTTATTCTCATTTGTTCCATATCCCTAGTAATTTTATTAATTTAAAACAGTGCGGAAAAGTTAGTAACAAACAAAAGACGCTAGCTTTATAGAGAGGAAACATTAGTAAAATCGTAAAATCATAGACCACCGTAAAAATTGTAAATCAAGTCACTTCCAGTGTTGCCAATATGCAAGGAATTTCTTAAATTGCGAAATAACCTCCAGCACATCAATAAATTCCCTTTTTCAAATAAATAAATTTTTTGAAATTGTTTTGTCCTTTCCACAAAAAAATCCTGTAAGCCATTCCAATGAGGTTCAGTCGTAAATAATAAAGATTTCATAAGTTTTGTGTAACACAAAAAAGCAAATTCTCTGTAAGGTTATAGAAAGTAACATATGTGTTTACGGGTGTATGCAGAATCAACCCAAAATAATTTTTCTATTACGTTAGGTAGGTATGTTTTATTTCGGCAGTAATACTGTATTTTTTTTTGTTTAATTTATTTGTTAGGAATTTCGCCCATCTTGGTGAGGAATATTTTGTTACAATATTTGTACCACTGGTCAATTTTTTTCTTATCTCTTTCCACAAGTGTCAGTGGACACCACTTCTATTTGCATTCCCATTTTCCAAAAAAATGTAAGATAAACTTTTTGCTTGAAAAAATATTAAGAATGCACTTGTCTAATTTTCGAAATATTCATTAACGCATAATTTCTGGGGTTTTTAGTGTACTGCCTCCCAGTCTGCCGTTGAATTTGTAAATTATTTTGGTTTATTTTTGTCTTTAATTCCACAAATTATTAGCCCACCCATTTTCAACATCTAGTGGCTTTAGGTCTTTAGTCGTTAGTCATTTTAGGTAAAATCTGATCCAACTAAAAACATATTAAAGTTATGAATCATTCAATAAAGTTTAATCTCCAGTAGTAAGTATAGTTAGACGATAGTAACCATGTTTACAAAAATATGTTAAATTCTCCATTAATTTACACGTAAACTAGAAAATATTTTTATCACTTTTGATTTCATATTACATTTATCACTGTGATTCACTGGCTGCCTCTTGCGACCCCTTATAAACAGTCTCCAAAGCAGCAGTGATGGTACGAATGTCGGCATCTATCGTTTTCGCCCAATTTTCAACGTCTCCTAATTCTTTCAAGGCACTGCTGAATGAATCCACGAGGTTTACCCATTGCTGAGTTTGTTTTGAGAAGTTTGTAGCACTAGTATGCAACTGCTTGGCTTCTGCATCCAACTTTTTCTGATTCAAATACGCTTGGGCTACGCCAACGTTCAAGTGGTTGACGAGAGCTTGAGTCAGTTCGTTTGCAGCAGCACACGCTTCCTTCCGTTTAGTTTCTTGTACCTCTTTCTTTATTGCTTGCTTTGCTTGGTGTTCTTTCACCATCGACGACAGCATGGTTAACTGAAAATGTTGATTTCATTACAATCGAATGTACACACGATAAACTTGATACTCAAAAAATGCTACTAAGATTGTCTTACCGGTTTTTAGGGTGCGGGAATAGATACAAATATTAAAAATGTTATTATTCACACTTAATAAATTAAAGAAACAAAAATAATCATTGCATTTTATTTGCTTATTGCAAACATAACCTGAAATATAGTCATAACATAACACTGAGTGAATCATATCTCGATTTTCGATTAATCTTCTTCTTCTGTTAACATTCACTCGCCAACAAAGGCTTTTGGAAATAACTTATAGGCAGGCTTAAAGCCTTTTCAGTTTTCACGCATTTTTTGTATCGTCAGTTTAAAACTTTTTAAAATTACCGTTGGTGTTCTGTCACCGCTAATGTAATACTACCATCTAGTTTTAAATAGTTTAACTACTTTTATTTCTAATTATATAGAAAAAAATAATTTCATGTAATCATATAACCAATCAGACATATTGCAAAGCTTTATAACGAATATGACTTGCTTGGCAATTGGATAGAAGATAGATAGATGATCTAGGTATCGAGCGATGCGCTAGCATTAAATTTTTAACAAAAGTTTATCGTTGCAAATGTTTACAGTTTATTGGGTTTACGTTTGATCACAGGTATGGACCCAGGATATATATGTTTAAGCTGTATTATGGATATGAAATGTAATGGTTTTAAACAAGTAGGTGCAAAAATGTTTAATGTCACGAGCAAAAACAAGAAGAGGAAGAATTTTCTAGGTTATAATTTGCACAAATTGTTTTGAAGAACCTAATCACTTATTGCTTTGGTTTTTGAAAATTGTTTACCCCAAAAATAAATGGTGTGCGTAATTTAACACACTACAAGAACGATGGGGAAAAAGTGTTCACTAAAGAATTGTAAGAATTATCAAAAGGAACCCTCATATGGTTGTGATATATCATTTCATGGGTATGTAACTATTCACTTAAGATTTTACCATTAAGTCAGATGAATATTTTCTTAATATAACCACACTAATACAAAGTTAAATTTATTGTTTATAAATTATTGTAAATGACTTCAGATATCGTTGATGTGTATTATAGGATACCTAGAAATGAAGAAACTAGGAAAAAATGGCTAGAAGCCATACCCAAACACCTGATAAGGGAGAACGCAAGCAGTATCTACATATGCGGTGTGCATTTTACACCAGAAAGTTTCCAACCGGCTTCTCTAGGTCTAACGAAAAATATGCTGCGAAGAACAGCCGTCCCATCGATCTTCGATGATGTAATAGAAACTACAAAAACTAGCACGAAAAAGGTAGGTTACAATGTAGCTAAGTAACAATTTATACCATATTATTTCCAGGCTTCCGCCGATAAAAACGTATTGGGTATGGTGCAAGCGAGCGCCGAGGCCACTAAAGTGAACTTCGTAAACGCGAGCGATATGTGTGTTTACGTGATCACCAAAACGGAGAGTCCCGTTGTTCAACCAGAAGGAGAGACCACCCAACTAGCTACTCCGGAAGGTCACGGTTTGAAGAAGACCTGCGACGTCGGCATTCAGGTGTCGCTGCCTACCAACAGGGAAAGGGAGCTTCAAAGGAAGCTGTACACCTTACAAAAGCGTCTAGAAAGGAGGGAAGCCAGGATATCTTCGATAATGACGGACTTCAAGACGCTGATGGATCAGAGTTAATGTGGAGTTAAAATTGCCACAAAATTTGACTGCTTTTTCAATTGTCGTAAAATCTAAATCGTTTGTCTGTAAGTAATTATCTATTTGTGTAAATTTTTTATTTATATTGTTTTATAAAGTATTTATACCACACTGGGAAGAAGAAGTTTTAAATAAACAACCCCTTGTGTTAAAGGGAGCAGTAATGGCGTTAATTTTATAAATTTATTTTTTCCAACCAGAAGTATCTCTCATTCAACAATTATCTTATTTTACTTAATTTACCATCTGGAGGATCAAACCCTCAATAATTTTGCTGCGTCTGCAGTATCCTTTAGGTGGCGTGACTACATCATTTTAATAAACAACAATATTGCCAAGTGCATAGAAAATCATTGTTTACTTGTTTTGTTAATGAAATTATTAACTGATCTTTTTTATATTGCCTTGTAGAAATATTGTATATCTAAATTGTAATGAACATGAAACATTTTTTTTAATAGAAAATAGGTTGATACTCATTTTGTTTTTAATTTACAAAATTCATTGTTCAATTATTAAAAAAATGTAATTAAAATCTTCATTTCCGACTACAATTTTTTTTGATGCACGGCAACAATTATATAAAATTTAAAAGACATGCCAAATACCAAATTTTATCTCGAAATCTGAGATCAAAGTATTTTCCCAGGATCTTTAAGGTCATTTGAAGGTCAATTTCTTTTTTCATGAAAAATAATGTATACAGGGCGTTAAAGAATGAGTCAAACTTTACCACTAGATTCTACGATGAAAATTAATGGGGAAAAGTCATATATAATGTTCTCACAAACGTTTAGTTGAAAAAAAATATAAAAAAAATAAATTTATTTATAAATATTATGTTGTATTTATAAATTTGTTTTTATAAAATATCTTTCGACTACTTTGAACTAATTTCGTGAAATTCGTATCGAGGGGTTTTGGAGAGATTCAAATTTATGACGATTTTGTCGTATCTTTTAAAGGCCGCCACAAACGATCATTAGGACGCGTTTAAACTGCCAAAACATTTTTGTGCCACCGTGTATGTCACTTTGGGCTGGAAAATGTTTTTTCCCCAACTTTTCTGCTTAAAAATGTGTACCTTGCTAATGTCTCTAAAGCCAACCGTTTTCAACAAAAAAAGCATTTAAATTCGTAAATGCATAAAAAGATTTGTTTAAAAGTTTGGCCCATTCTTTAAAGAACGGCCTGTATAAAATTAGTGGAATGTAATAGAAATTTTCAACTAAAACTGTCGGTATGGTTTTGATAACAGTTTTGAAATTTAACACATTGTTGTCATTCAAAATCCAACAAATTTTGCTTGAAGCATTTTTGTTTCACTGTTTTCACCCATTCTGAATTTCATCGAACGTGATTTTCAAACTAAATATTTAAATACACACAGCTGCATATTTTTTAATATCTAGAAATAATTTGTAACCTTATACAATCATGTTGTGGAAACACAGGTTGTTAATAATCAATTCTTAAATTTTGGCGCCCAAGATAAATGTTTTAAATGCGTGTTTGCCGCCGTGCTAATTTGTGACGGCATTTAGTGCGATGAATAAATCAAGAAGATCCAGACAGCATGAGCAATTAACTTTGGTTCGAGGTTTTCCGCATGCGCGTTTCTTTGGATTAGACTCCGTCTCGTCGGCGTGTGAGTTGAAGATTTGACGACAGACGGCCGAGAAGCAGGTTATGTTCTCGGTCGCACTAAATGACGTCACAATGTCTTACAATTTTCGCTCATCTGAATTTGCTGGATTACATTCTGCTCTATATGCATTTCAATCCGATTAAATCCTAAATTTTACGTTTGTCGATATATTAATCTTCTCCTATTTTATACTATTTCGGCATTAGAGATACATTTATAATACCCTATTCAACAGATTCTGGGCTTTGTTAGATCTGATTTTTCAGACTTTTATTTCTCACACTAAGAGAGTCCGCAAGCTAACTAGTTTATAAAATCGTCTTGTTGGACCCTTTTGACACATTGACACAGGAGGTTATTTATTTAAAATTTATTTTTCTTATCGTGTCAGAATATGTAATTAAGTAAATACAAAACTAAAGCATGTTTATTACTATTTAATACTTTAAAATTTATACAGATATGGAAGTGATGGATTTTACTTGTGTTTTTTAAATATATTTTGTGGTAATTGAGTTATTTCTTGTGAAACAATATTTGGTCATTGCATTTGTATGTATTTTGCAAAACTAGACTTAAAAAATGTCAACTGTATAACATCTTAAATCTTGAATATGAGTGCTTTATGTGACATTATTGAGTATAGTAATATAGAATATGTAATTTGTTATATGCATGTAAATAAATCATTATATTTATATAATCCTAAACTGTTTTTAGTGAATTTTGCAGTGTTGAATTCAAATTATAATTTCATTGTATGTATATTTAGATTTTCATTACGATGTTTCAGTTGCGAGAAATCATTAGAAATAGATTTATTCTTTATAAACGGTTTTGTTGCTTTTACATCCATAGTATTAATTTGACTAGCATAGTCGAGTCGTAACTACCTTAAATGAAGAGAAATCGGATTCAGTTAAGTTTGTACTCTAAATTTTTCCTGTAGTAGCTCTATCTCTCTCACACATCTCTGTGCGGCAACGGCTTGTATTGGCAGAATACATTTCAGCAGAGACCAGGTCTATAGCAATGATCCCCACAGTGGTCTATATCGACCCAGAACTGCAAGGGCTCCACGTCAACGGAAACAAAAATTAGGGGTGCATGAGACGTAAATGGGGGACCATGATAATGGGTTCCATTTAAGCAGGTCTTGACCGAAATTTTGGCTTTCCATAAATGGAATAATTCTCATAACATAGTACATATGTACTTACACAATAGTTTCTAATAATAGACATATAAATTACATATAAAGTAAATATTTTTAGAATAATGAAGATTTGGAACTAGGACTTTTTGATTTCATGCTTTAATCATGGGAAAATTCCAGATTAATGATGGGATCATCTCCATTGACAATCAAACTAATAACATAATTGCTTTGAATTTTAATTAATGCTAATTGTTAGAATATTCTCTTGAGTTTAACCAACATAATTATTTCGTTTTACTTATAAAATTATTGTTAATTTACTTTTGTTACTGAACAATTATTTTATTTACTACACTTTATTACATATTAATTAAATATATTTTATAAAATTGTGCAACATGCTATTCGCTTTGTGGTCGCAAACTTGTAACTTGTCAAAACTTGTACTTACTGTGTCTAGTGTCAAAAACACATTTGATAAGTTAATGAATTTGTAGCAATTCATTAGAAAGGCAGGCGGGGGGCTATCTAAAACAGAAAAAATTGGTGCGTGGTCTACGAGATAATCCTTAGTAAAACCAATGCAAATATTTCACTCTATTGACAAATAGACCTTTTAGTAGTGACGTCACATACGCCAAATAATAGGCAACCCCATAGTACACATCACGAAGATTTCTCAATATTTTTTCTATCACTCACGCTCGCTATGGGACCTATAGTGTAGGGGGTTAGGTGCTCGGAAAGTGCTAGATAGTACAACAGCGTGATGTTATTTTCATAGCACTTTTCGTGCACCTAACCAGTGTTACCAGATCTCCTGTTTTAACAGGAGATCTCCTGTTTTCACTCTCACTCTCCTGTTCTACTGTTTTCACTATGAGATCTCCTGTTTTTAGTTTCAATGTCTATTCTTCTAGTTTCTCTATGAAATCTTCTGTTGATTATACTATAATTTTCCCCAGAATAAGAATNTCTCTCTCACACATCTCTGTGCGGCAACGGCTTGTATTGGCAGAATACATTTCAGCAGAGACCAGGTCTATAGCAATGATCCCCACAGTGGTCTATATCGACCCAGAACTGCAAGGGCTCTACGTCAACGGAAACAAAAATTAGGGGTGCATGAGACGTAAATGGGGGACCATGATAATGGGTTCCATTTAAGCAGGTCTTGACCGAAATTTTGGCTTTCCATAAATGGAATAATTCTCATAACATAGTACATATGTACTTACACAATAGTTTCTAATAATAGACATATAAATTACATATAAAGTAAATATTTTTAGAATAATGAAGATTTGGAACTAGGACTTTTTGATTTCATGCTTTAATCATGGGAAAATTCCAGATTAATGATGGGATCATCTCCATTGACGATCAAACTAATAACATAATTGCTTTGAATTTTAATTAATGCTAATTGTTAGAATATTCTCTTGAGTTTAATCAACATAATTATTTCGTTTTACTTATAAAATTATTGTTAATTTACTTTTGTTACTGAACAATTATTTTATTTACTACACTTTATTACATATTAATTAAATATATTTTATAAAATTGTGCAACATGCTATTCGCTTTGTGGTCGCAAAACTTGTAACTTGTCAAAACTTGTACTTACTGTGTCTAGTGTCAAAAACACATTTGATAAGTTAATGAATTTGTAGCAATTCATTAGAAAGGCAGGCGGGGGGCTATCTAAAACAGAAAAAATTGGTGCGTGGTCTACGAGATAATCCTTAGTAAAACCAATGCAAATATTTCACTCTATTGACAAATAGACCTTTTAGCAGTGACGTCACATACGCCAAATAATAGGCAACTCCATAGTACACATCACGAAGAATTTCTCAATATTTTTTCTATCGCGCTCGCTCGCTATGGGACCTATAGTGTAGGGGGTTAGGTGCGCGGAAAGTGCTAGATAGTACAACAGCGTGATGTTATTTTCATAGCACTTTTCGTGCACCTAACCCTCTATGCTATAGGTCCCATAACGACTCGCACTTGTGATAGAAAATAGTATGTGCAACTCGTTCGGAAAAGTTGTCATAGCGCTACTTGGGCGTCAACTGCACCCGCGTGACGCTATTGGCAACTTTTCCTCACTCGTTATACAATGTACTATACTAGATCGATTTTCGACCTTATGTACTTTGGACATAAGTGTCAAAAAAGTGGCTTCTTTATCATGACCTTAAATATCGCGATATTCTGGCAATATTAGAAATATTTAAGAAGTTTCAAACCTCAAGTGAGAAACTAATAGAATTATATAATTTATATATTTAAACTTATATAACAATATTGACTTTTATAGTAATTAATACATTAAAAGCATATCAATGTTACCGAACATGCGCATTAAAGATAATTTCATGTAAGCGATGTAGCCTCGCAACAGGTTATCATTTAAGAAAAGTTTGGCATTGGTTAAGAGTAAGTCTATAATAAACCACTTGAAGAAAAAAAAATGATAAACACACTGACAGCACAACGTCAAGAAAAACAATAAAAATACTTAGTAGAACTAGAAAATGCTAAGATTAAACAAAAGCAGAGAAAATACGCTAATAACGACAGCGATGACATATCAACAAGATCTCACCTGCGTATGAGGCTATTC